CGATGGTCACTCTCATTCATTTCGTTCACGAACGAGATATGTACCAGTTCAGTCATTTCATTCACGAATGAGATGTACCAGTTCATTCAGCTTGTTCACAAATGACATGTACCAGTTCGGTCATTTCGTTCACGAACGAGAAGATCTCTCGATCTCATTCAGACTCAAAAGAAACTCGTTCAGTGAAGGGCGTATTCGTTCACTACATTTAACAAATCACATGCTCCATCTCATACTCGAAGGCTATTGGCTCAAGGTTTAGTCTTTGACAGGATGAAAATGTTCACAGAGCTACCCTGTTCACTGATCTGCGCATGCGCTGCTAATAGTGCCTGCTATTAAGGGAGGAATATCAGTGAACGAGAAATATGAGTCAACGGATTACATGAACGAGAACGATTCGTTCACCTAAAAGATTTGTTCAAAAAGAAACGATTCGTTCACGAACGTAACATCACTAATGACCACACATAATGAAGCATTTATCCTCAGCATCCTCAAGCTTTTCTGGTGGGCTCTTACATGTCCAAGTTAAAGAAAGAGAAAATGTCATTCACACGGCTTCTTTCATTTGGCAAATGCACAGCTGGCATTTGAACCCAAGATCTCCTATTTACGAGACACTTTAAGCCACTGCACCAACTGAAAGCAGGGAGGCAGGCAGGCATTCCAACACTGCTTTCTCACATGCGACCCTGGACCACAGAACCAGTCATAAGGGTCAATTTCTCAAAATTGAGATGCATATATCACCTGAAAGCTGAATAAATAAGCTTTCCATTGATGTATGGTTTGTTATGATATGACAATATTTGGCCGAAATACAACTATTTGAAAATCTGGAATCTGAGGGTGCAAAAAATCAAAATACTGAGAAAATCGCCTTTAAAGTTCAAAGTCCAAATGAAGTTCTTAGCAATGCATATTACTAATCAAAAATTAAGTTTTGATATATTTACGGTAGGACATTTACAAACTATCTTCATGGAACATGATCTTTGCTTAATATCCTAATGATTTTTGGCATAAAAGAAAAATCTATAATTTTGACCCATACAATGTTTTTTTTGGCTATTGCTAAAAATATACCCCAGCGACTTAAGACTGGTTTTGTGGTCCAGGGTCACATATTGGAACGATCGAGGGAAAATGAACTAACAACAATCAGGAAGAAGAGTTCTACTCTTTGAAACCATCTGACATGGTTCTTCATGCTAGGCACAGAAGCCAAGCAAATGTCATGATCTCCAGCTGGAGTGCCCATGAGCTCCTCTAGAGGGCACTCCATTCTGTACCTTGCCATTCACTCAGGACTCCATTTTCCATAATCCTTTGCCCGGACTCATCAAGTGCATCACCTGTCTCTCATCAGATCTCATCATCAGTTCACAGCTGTCTCACATTAGTAGGAACTTATTATTGCACCACACCTGTTTCCTATCAGTGACAGTATAAAGGTTGCCCTCATTCACACACACATTGCTGATTATTGTTTAGCCTGTACCCTGTTCCGAGTATCTGTGTTTCCTTGCCTTGCCTTGCCTTCTTGTTTCTTGATCTTGGACTGTTTATTGGATTGCTCTTTTGTCTCACCCTGGATTGTACCTGTTTGCTGGTGTTTGACCCTGCCTGTTTTG